CACCCCCTCCCTCACTATGGGAGCCTTGATCTGCCCCCCTTCCATACCCCTTCCCTCCCCTGAGCCCCTTCCCTGGCACAAACTTACCAGCTGGACACTGTTCTCCAAGCTGCCAGGCTGTATTCCTGGCCATGTGCACACTGTGACTGTGCTCATACACACAGCATTTATCGGTAATATTAATCTACTACAATGGCCAAAAAAAGCCTATTGCCAATAATGTCAATTTTCCTTTTATTGGTGCCAATCCAATATGGACCGATATATCAATGCACCTCTAGAACAAACGTCAGTAAATTTCATTATTTATTAATCAAGTTACTTAATGCAGCAATACAACAGACTGCTCAAAAAGGAGACTTACTCAGGTGGACGAGCTGCTCGTGTATTTGGTCTCCATCCCTATTAAAATGCCAACATAATTATTATTATTATTTAAAAACACAATTCTAGTTTTCATTCCTCTACTAAAGTCTAATATTATAAAAGCCTAAGTCTGCCTGTGTATCTGTCTGTCCATAACACTTTATTCACACTCTGATAGTGGCTGTCTTGGCAGCCAATCATAGAGCCCTACACAGACAGGGACAGGCAGAGGAGCAGAGCCATGACAGTGGGGATTGATGGGCCAGAGGGGAGGGGGGCGAGGCCCCTACCCAAAGCAGTGCGGGTGGAGGTGGGGAATGGCTCAGGCCCTGGCCCCAGCCCAAAGTGGTGGGGGGAGGCAGAGAATGCGCCTGGCCCCAGTCCGAAGCAGCGGGGGGAGGAGGGGAATGGCCCAGGTGCCAACCCAAAATGGCAGAGGGGAGGCAGGGAGCACCCAGCCCGAGGTGGATGGGGGGGGAGGGACACAGGCCTCTGTCCCTGCCTGCCTCAACAACACTGTTGACAGACTGATAGTACTAAGTTCTACATTTCCTTTTCACTGAAAGTTGATTCTATAGATTCAGTATCTATGATGTCTTCAATACCCATGTCTAAGACTATGACTCAGCTGTGGTAAACATGAATAGAAACTTTCCTGGGCATCAAGCACTTAAAAGATTAACCAGAAGTGGTGACCCTACCATGTATTGACAATGCATTAAAATGGTTTACACTTTTGAAATGCTAGTATATCAGTCACTTTTCCTGGTGTCTCAGGCCAGGTACAGCCATTGCACTTTTATCAGTATATGTGATTGGAAACTGGTCTATACCCATAACAGAACAGAAGTTCTACACACATAAATTTGTTTAAAAATGGCAGAACCTGATCTAAATTTTGCCCCCGCAAAGGGCAATCGTGTGTTCTGTTTGCTACCAATCTAAACTATGCTGCTTGCAAAAAACCACATAACTTGCATCAATTCTGCCTTGGGCTTTTTGAATGTCTGTACCTAACCTCAGATACCAACCAGGGCCCAGAGGGTTTCTAGTCATCTGAAATTAATAGGAGACTCTGCTAACTGCTTTCTTGCACTATCCACACACATTTTCTGCCTGCACGCAGACCCTTAGGAAAGTTTAGTCATTGTTAAACTAAACTCTGGAATGTGTGGAAAAAATGTTAATTCACACAAACTGTGTTCTCTCAAGCAAGGTCTTATAAGTGAACCAACACCACCTGGTGGTTTAAAATATAAAGCACCTGACTGCACAACTTATATTGAATAATACACTTTTCAACGCACAAATGGCATGTCAATCAAATATATTTTTGTGTTTTAATAGTTTACTAAAATTATACAACTTTGCCAGGTGTTTGAATGGGTTTCATCTTAAAATATATATGCCACTATTTAAAATTATGTTATGATCTCTTTTCCAGAAAGCATTAAATAAAGGAGGGAGGAAAATACATGCAGTTAATCAGTAGCAACTTGGGTGGGGAGAAGGCAGCCCTGGGCACTACCTTTGCTTCAGGGGCACAAAAATAGCTGCCACCACTTTGCCACTACCACTAGCACCGTGGCAGCTAGTGCTGCCCCATGTATCATGCCTGTCCTGGGCACAGAGCTACCCTTGTATGCCTCTGTATTTATTCAGTATCGAATCTGGGGATATCAAGGACTCATTTAGAGAAGAAGAGAGTTTGAATCTAGTTTTGTGGCTATTTCCATTATTTTCCTTCCTAAGCCAGAAAGAGGCAGAAGAATCAGGGATGGGTATATTTTGAACTTGGAGCAATGCAGAAGAGGGCAGAGACTGAAGAAAAAGGTGAAAGTTCCTTTTACAAAATATCACAGAAGCTTCTAATGAATGACTGGCATACAAAAATGGCTTTTCCAAGGAAGTGCTGGCTGTAGGATACTAATACAGCAAGGGTTTAATACTGGACTCTAGGAGGGTAATTTATATTCCATGTCAGACAACAGTGAAAGAAAAGCAGTCCCTCATAGCTGACAGTTCAGAGTTTGTGAGTCCTTAATTCGGTCACTCAGCAACAGGGAGGAAGTCAAATGAAAGCATGTGTACATAAGGAAGACTGATTACTGATTAGGACTTACTTATAAATTCACTTAAGTGCTTTAGTCTATAGCACATGGTATATGTGAAACAGAAAAAGGAAAATGTACCAGGCTTAATTCAAAAGGCATTAGTGTTTGATCTACCTGCAGCCAAATCAATGACCTATCTGTAGGAAGATCATATTCATATGGCCAGAGCCAAAAAATACTTGGCCACATAAAACAGGACACAGGCAGACTTCAGATACCTAAAGTCTGAAACTGCAGCACAGAAAGATCGCAGCACAGGGAATACTATGTCTACACACAAAACCTACCACACCAGGCAGCAGTGTCCTCAACCATGCTGTGATGCTCCTCCCAACTGCCTTTTGAAATGTTAGTTCTTTGCTGAATAACAGTAATAACTGGCTTGCTCAAAGCCAGGTTCCAGTTCAAGAAGCAGCTTAAACAGAGCACAGCAGCATACTTATGGGTGCTGCTGCCACTCATGGTAAACATGCTATGTGGACAGAGTCCCAGTGACTCACTTTATAACCTGAAAACTCACTAGGCATAATTCTGCTCTCTGCACATCCGAACAGCACCCTGGGCTGAGCAGCCAAGTACCTTGCTCCTAAGTACTGGATCCAGAAGCTATGTAGAATAATGCCTGGGTCCTCTCAGGGGCCCAATCTAGCAGGTTTGCTATGATCCTATACAAGCTAACAGACACTTTCATTTGAAAGCATGGCAAGACTGGTGCTGCCTGCCTTGTATGAGCATAGAGCAGGGGCATCAAACTCATCATGCTCCATGGGCAGGATGAGGAGCATGGGGCCAGTCTGTGGGTCAGATGAGGCCCAAAGCCTGGCCCCATACACCCTATACAGCATGCACCCTGGACTGGCCCCATGTACCACATGCAGTGTATGCCCTAGACTGGCCTTGTACACTGCATGCAGTGTGCACTCCAGATCCCCACATTGCACACGGTACACATACTGCTCCAGCTCCACCTATGGCATGCAGCATGCACCAGACTAGTTTTGCATATAAGCTTAAGTCGGAGCTCTTTTAAACATTTTCTGATTAAAAACATCTTGTCAAATAATTGTCAACCAGCTCATCAGAAAATGTTATACATCTGAGCTTTACAGTTTGTAAAATACAAATGAAATTTTCAAAGGCATTTTTAAGTCAAGACAGCAATGTTAAACATACTTGGCTAAGTTTCTTCCCCCTTGATGACAGCTGAGCTTGCCCTCTAGAGGATGCAGAAACTCCTTTAACTTCTAAATCCATTTAAATTAGATTGTGGGCTTCACGGTAGTAGCCTGCAAAACAACAGCAAAAAACTATATGAAAACTGCATCTTTTCCAAATACTCTTATAAATGTCATTAAATTAGGAAGAGTGAACCTACTGCCCACAACTTGGAAGTTTATTTGATGTCTTGGCTGCCTTTCCACTTCTATAGCAGTCAAGACCTTCCCTTGCCAGTACTCATAGCTTTCCTGGTACGAAGTCCAGTCTTCTCTCTTAGTTTCATGCCTTCAAAACACCACCTCATGTAATTTGTGCCTTTCCTCTTCCCTGACTTCAACCCTATAGAACTTTGTTTGCAACTGCAAACTTCCTGTACTCCAGAACTTTTACCACTGGTTTCTCTACAACAGCAGTCTCCAAACTTTTTATGGTGAAGATCACTTTTTGCAAGGTAAGGGCACCCCAGGATCTACCGTGCACCACCCTCCCCCCCCATGTGCCCCTGGACTGTGGAGTGTCCCAGACCCGATCCCACTTCTGTGCCACAGCTGTGCTGAGCTGCACCCACCTGGCAGTCAGATGAATGTGGTGCAGGGTCCCAGACCAATTAGGTCTGGAAGTCTCTGCAGTGTAGGGGGCATGTGAGGGGGGGCTCCCACCACTGGATACTGAGCCCACCCTGCTTGCCCTGCCCTCTCTGGGAGGAGGCTGCTGTTGCTGCAGGCTACCCACTGTGCCTGGAGCACAAGGTGGGGGTTGGAGGGCGACAGGTCCCAAGGCCTCCACTGAGCTGCCCCCAGTGGTGGGAGCCCTCTTCCTTCCTTCCTCCCCGCCCCGCCCCACCCCATGCCCCTAGACCACGGAGACTTCCAGACCCAGCCAGGGTAGGGCCTGATTCCATATGTGTCTGGCTGCCAGGGGCTCAGCACAGCCACAGCACATAAGTGGGATCACCCCCGACCCAGCTTGGTCTGCGAATATCTGGTCATCCAGGGATATGTGGAGGGCGGGAGGGTGCTCCTGTTGCTGGACACAGTCCAGCAGAGGCCCCGGGAGCCTTTGCACCCCCAACCTGAGCTCAGAATGAGGCAGCTACTGCTGCTGAGCTGAGGCGCACCAGCACGTAGCCAGCTTGCAGCGGGGCCCGAGGTGCAGCAGGGCTAGAGGTGCAGTGGCAGCAGCCTCTGGCACCTCTACCTCCGCAGAGATGAGAGAAGCCCCCAAGGTTCGAATCCTCCCACCACCCAGCCAGGCTGGGGTCCTACTTACCTTTCTCTGCTCCTGACTGGGCTGCATGGTCAGCCGCTCACTGCAGGGAACCTTGATCAGACCCCCACCTCTTCCCTCCCCGACAGATTGCCCTGTTGGGGGATAGGGGGGCAGGTGTGTGCATGCATGAGTGCTCAGCTCTCCCTCAACCCAGGATCAACCAAGAGGCTCCAGGATCTACTTGTTGACCAGGATTGACAAACTCCAAATACACCCTTTTTGGCACACTCTCTTCCCTTCCACAAATTCAATGTACAGCAGGGTTGCCAAACTTGTTGGGCTCTGCAGGTCCTGTACAGACTGTGGGGATTCTCATGGGATCTGAACCTAGATTTAATTCCCACAGCTGCTGGAGCTGTTGGTTTGGCATGGCTCCAGAGCTCAGCGATTTAACACTCGTGTTTACCTTCCCCTTTCCCCCCCACACTACAGATCTTAGTTGCTTCAGCAGAGAGCAAGAGGGAAGGGGAGGGGAGCAGCATTGACTCCCTGGGTTCCAGAGTCATGCCAAAACATTGGGAATTAATAATGCCACAGCCACAGGGACTCTGGCATTCCCAGCAAGGAGCTCCACAGGCCAAATCCAGCCTATAGAGGGAAAATGGTGCACCCTATAAGCAGCCCCAAGAGCCAGATGGCATACATCCCTGGGCCAAATCCAGCCCACAGGCCATGTTTTATACCCTTGCTTATGCCTTGACAAATGCCAGTTATCTGAATATCAATTAAGTGCATAAACCACTTAAGTGCATAGGAACTCTTCAGTGCAGCATCTATTTTGTAACTTAATTGTAATGCAGTCTTTTTTATACCAAATCAGAAGCCATCATTTTCCATGCTTTTTAAGCAGGCTTGACTTGATGAGGTCATGTCAATGTTGAGGCAGTCATTAACAAGGCACAAGAAACAAAAAAAAGAGCCATAACAAAGAATAAAAAGCTTAGTGGAGGCTGTTCCTGCAGCTCAGGAGCATAGTATACATTAAATTCACAGAAGTCATCACTTTTTTTTCAGTCTGAGGTTATGCACTTCCACAGCTTATGCTGCGTCCTCCTCCACTGATGCACCTGCAGCCTGTCTCCCTTACTTCAAGATCCCCTCCAAAATCAGTCTGTCCATGACTTCATGAGTTGTAAAAGCTGGCCACATTTCTATGTCCACATAGTTCCTACTATTCATTCCCCAAAGTAGGAGGCAGAAATGTATGTTATTTGTAAAGACTGCATCTAAAATAACATCAAGACTTCCTTGCAAAATATAAGGAGTTTTGATCACAACAGAGAAAAGGAATGATCACCGCATTTCCACTTTTAGCATCAACATGCCTCTAAAACAGGGGTCGGTAATCCCTGGCACGTGCGCTGAGCATGGCATGCGAGGCCATTTTGCTTGGCACACCATGGCCAGCCCTGGCTCTGGGTAGCTGCTGTTGGTGACGGAGCCCAGGCTGCTCCCAGCAGGGCTTGCAGCGTCCCAGCTGCCTGCTGGGAGCAGCTATACAGAACCGACATCAGCTGTTCTGGCAGAGACTGCATGGGCACCTACGCTGCCCCGCTGTCCACTCCGAGGGGCACACACAGTCACTGCCAGCATGGAGCTGATGCCAGAGCTGTGGAGCCTGGCGCAGCTGTTTGCAGCCTGCCCACTGCCTGCTGCCACTGTCCAGAGCCCGGGCTGGCTACAAACAGCTACACTGGGCTCCAGAACCCTGCTATCACCTCTGTGCCAGAAGCAGGGGAGAGACTGGGGCTGCGCTGCCTCAGGCTCCTCCCCCACCACCCACTCCAATGCCTGGGCACACGCGCTGGTACAGAGCTGATGCCAGAGCCCGAAGCCCAGCCCAGCTGCTTGGAGCCTTCTGGCTGCAGCCAGTCCCGGCTCTGGGTAGCTGCTGCCAGCCAAGAGCCCATGCTGCTCCCAGCAGGAAGCTGGGACACTGCAAGCCCTGCTGGGAGCAGCCCAGGCTCCAGCAGCCACCCAGAGCTGGGGTAGCTGCTGACAACCACAGAGCCCAGGCTGGTGGGTTGGCTTTGGGTGGGGGGCAAGGGGCACAAGCAGGGCATCCTGCCATGGACCCCTTGCCCTCATTTTGTTTTTTTGGCATGCTGGCACTCCGGCACCTTCCAAGGTAGGCATTGCGGTGCTTTTCAACACTCCAGCCAAAAAACATTGTCTACCCTGATCTAAAATATTTTATTTCAAAATCTGATCATAACTGACTAAAATTAATCCTGCAGTTTAACGGAGATTTAACTGCCACATGATAAAGGTACAGTCTCAAAAGAAGGGGGAAAAAAGCTTCTGGTGGAGATAGTTCACAAACTAGCTATCTGCAGTTCTTCACAAATAAGAATTACTACCACTATGGACCAATACGGCTACAACCTGGATACCTGACACATGGAAGATATCAAAGTTTAGTCAAATTTTTAATGAAATCTTCGTATTTTCTCAAGCAGGAAGCAACTGTGACCACCTGAGCTTGTGCTCCTGTCTTTGTTTCACGGTACTTTGCATCATCACAGATCCTCACAGGTGAGAGGCTCCATACCAGCTATGAACCGACTGCCCAGAGTTTTCCATCTATTGACTCCTCTGTGAAATCCTATGAAATACAAACTTTCATTTCAATCCAGGAGAACTTTAACAATCTTTCTCCAATGCCTGATGAAGGGTGCTTATGCCCAAAAGCTTGCAATTAAAGAATATATATATATAAATTTTTTTATATTATATTTATATTATATATAATTTTTTTTTTTTGTAAAAATCTTGCTGGTCTAATACAAGATATCATCTCTACTAGGAGTCCTGATTGCCTTTTACCACTATGATACACTTATGGGTAGTTTGAAAAGAAAGACAAGAGGCTGAATAAGGAGGTGAAGTTACACTTAAACCATGTGAAATCTGTGGGATGTCAAGTGGTGTGAAACTAGAAGGTGCAGTGAGCAGCTGCAGGTTAAGAGTCAATAAAGTGTCTCACCTGCACAGCTCTGCCAAGGGCAGGTGATGAGGAGGAGCAGGAGTGCAGCTAGGAGCCAGGACACCTGGGTTTTGTGGCTGCTCTAGGTGGGGACCCAGGAGTGATGCATCTTGTGATGCCAAAGGACTGCAAATTGCTTGTTTTATGCCCAGGGAACTGCCTGCAGTTACCTTCACTAGACATGGGAAAGGTTAAACAGTTAATCCTTGTAGCCAGTAAGTGCAGCCATAACCAATTAGCTTACTCTTATGGGCAGCCAGGCTCTGGCAGGGAAGGGGGAAAGGGAAACCCTGTGGTGCTGCAGGAATCAGGAGGAAGAAGCAAGGGGCACTAGTATCCCTAGCCCAAGAGGAAAACAGGGAACAGCTTAACGACTGCTCCATTAAGAAATTCACTGCTTGTTCACAGCTGCTCCTTCCCTTCACCGGGCTTCACAAGGGCTTGCCTCCCCTCAGCCCCAGCTGTGTGCACTTGTGGTTGCTGGTTTAACCAGGATTGTTTACATGCCACCCCCACACAAGCCACCTGGCAGCTCGACCCAGAGCCGGGCCCGACGGGGAGGCCCTGTGCGGGCAGGGAGCACAGGCCGGCGGGCCTTGGAAGCGCCCTTAGCGGGGTCCAAATCGGCGCGTCCCAAACTTTTCCCCAGCCTGACCCCGCTTGTGGCCCCGTTTCCTCCGCCCACTGCTGCCGCCACCTCGCGACCCGCTGGTCTCAGGATACCTTCGCCCCGAGGAGGGGGAGCTCTTCGCCCCTCCAGCTCGGCCGGCAGAGCTGCCTGGGGCCGCCAACAGGCCCCGTTGCCATGTCGGGCCGAGACCAGCAACCGCGGCGGCTCCTTCGAGCGCCACGACGAGGCCGGGGGCAGCCGAGGAAACCGGCCGAGACCCCGCGGGGCCGGGACGGATCCCTTGCCCGGGAGCGGCCACGCGAGCCCACGGGGCCGATACCTGCTCCGCGGCCCTCGGCGCAGACGCTCCCGCAGGCGGAGCCGGGGGCGGCGCTGGAG